CCAGACAGTACTTTTTTAGAAATAATTATTTTTCTTCCGAAATTAGGCGCGAAGTTAAAAATCACTAACGCAGAAATGCACATTATAGCACTGTGTATTATATAAAAAATCGTGTATCTTATTCCTTTTGAATTGTGGCATACAGAAAAAATTTCGTCGAGAACTAAATGAAGCTTTTGAACTGTTAAAACACATTTAATATTATAGCTTAATTATCTTGGCCTTCTGTGCAAAAAAAATGCATGGGTTGTGTCATGCCGTCTTAAGGGACTAAAACAAAAAAAATTATATATTTTTAAGACTTATGGATTCCGAGATATTGCAGGTGACGAAATTGCCCCTGTGACGAAATTACCCCACTCTCCCCTACACTAATAAATTGAGCTGGCGTGGGTATACGTACATATATATAAATGCCAAGCGCCATTTAAGGCCAATTCTATTAGAGCGGCACACACTAATGGCTTCACATCATCCCATGCATTTAAACTTAGTTACTCATAACTTTTGAAATAAATAAAAGCAATTTAAAATAATATATATTATTAGATACTGCATTTTAAATACACACAAAAACAAGAAAGGAAGGTAGCTTCGGCCAGCCGAAGCTTATATACCCTTGCAAATCGTTCCTTTTAACTTACAAATCGCAAAAATTTTAAATTTGGATTTATTTTGACATTATTTGTTCTATCCTTCCCTATGGCAGCAATATAATATAGTCGTCCGCTTCTTGTTAAATTTAATTCGGAAATATTCGAAAAATACATATACTACAGTAGAAGATAATACAATAAAAACCAACGTAGCCATAATTTGTTTCCATTTAATTTCCCATTAATTTTTCGATCGTTCCTATGGCAGCTATGATAAAGTCGTCCGATTTTGATCAAATTAAAATTGGAATTCGGAAATATTTAAAAAGAGTTATTTCCTAGAGTAGAAGAGAATACAATAAAAACCAAAAAGGCTAAAATTTATTTCCTATTACTTTCCCATTAGTTTTCCGTTTGTTCCTATGGCAGCTATACGATATAGTCGTCCGATTTTTTTAAACATTAAATTAGAAATTCAGAAATATTTAAAAAATAATATCCCCAAGAGTTGAAGGTAAGAGCTATAAGATATAGTTGTCCGATCCGGTCGGTTCCGACTTATATACTACCTGCAATAGAAAGAAGACTTTTGGGAAAGTTTCAAGCCGATAGCTCCAAAACTGAGAGAATAGTTTGCGTAGAAACGGACAGACATTGACAGTATGACAACATGAACAACATACATAAGACAGTATGAACGCTGAGATCTCGGAAACTACAAAAGCTAGAAGGTTGAGATTTTCCACACATATTCTTAGGCTTCCTACGAGCGCCACGTCTGGCGGCCACACCTTTAAAGATTTCCGAGAAGTATAAATGCAATTTTGTTGTGTATCAAAATGTAGAAGACATTTTTTAAATCGGACCATTCATTATAAGGTTATACGCAATCAAAACAAGAAAGGAAGCTAGCTTCGGCCAGCCGAAGCTTATATACCCTTGCATATCATTCCTATTAATTAACAAATCGCAAAAATGTTCAATTTTCTAATATTTCTCATTAACTTTCCGATCGTTCCTATGGCAGCTATATGATATAGTCGTCCGATTTTATCAAATTAAAATTGAAATTCGGAAATATTTAAAAAGAGTCATATCCTAGAGTAGAAGATAATACAATAAAAATCAAAGAAACTAGAATTTATTTCCTATTACTTTTCCATTAATTTTCCGATCGTTTCTATGGCAGCTATATGATATAGTAGCCCGATTTATGAAATAATTAATTCGAAATTCAGAAATATTTAAAAAATAACATAACACACCGAAGCTAGAATTTTTTAAAGTTTTTTTTTTCCGATCCTTCCTATGGGAGCTATAAGATATAGTTGTCCGATCCGGTCGGCTCCGACATATACACTACCTGCAATAGAAAGAAGACTTTTGCGAAAGTTTCGTCCCGATAGCTCAAAAACTGAGAGACTAGTTTGCGTAGAAACAGACAGACGGACGGACAGACGGACAGACGGACATGGCTAGATCGACTCGTCTTGTGATGCTGATCAAGAATATATATACTTTATGGGGTCGGAAACGTCTCCTTCACTGCGTTGCAAACTTCTGACTGAAATCATAGTACCCTCTGCAAGGGTATAAAAATGTTATGTATCCATCTCCCTCGCACTCCCTTTAGCCGAGTGATGGGTATTTGATAGTCGGGACACGAACCCGACAATAGCGTTCTCTCTTGTTTTTATTTTAAAAATCATAAGAATTACCATCCCTGGTAAAAGGGTATATTGTATTAGTGCAAACGTATGTAACAGCTAGAAGGAAGCATTTCCGACCCTATAAAGTATATATATTCCTGAACAGGATCACTAGTCGAGCCGATCTAGCCATGTCCGTCTGTCTGTCCGTCTGCCCACCGGGAAATTGAGAAGGTGGTTCTTTATGTGTTGAAAATCCTGTTCCTTTTAGCAGAAAGTGTTACAAATCCTGTATCTCCTAGCAGGCGACGGTGTAGGGAAAACGTAAATTCCCATGGAATACCACATAGAAACCTCATTTACCCCTTACTTTTTGTGTCACCCCCGTGTATTTTGAAGAAATGTAAGGGGTAAATGAGGTTTTGTCCCTTCCGCTTGTATGGAGAAAAATATCATATTTTCCAGAGGAATCTTTCCGCTGGGTGTCTGTCTGTCTAACGCCCACAATCGCCCACAAAGGATTTTAAAAGGTGTCTGGCGCCCACACCTTTAAAGATTTCGGAAAAGTAAAAATGCAGTTTTATGGTGTTTATCAATACCTTTCGAAATGTAGAAATCAAATCGGACCATTCGTTAAAAAGTTATGCGCGATGAAAGTTGTATATCTCTATCTCCCTCGCGCTCCCTGAGCGCGGGTATCTGATAGTCGGGGCACCTGAGTATAGCGTTCTCTCTCGTTTCTATTTTAGGATTCTAAAATTGGTATATATCAAAAAATGTGGCGTTACATGGAGAATCGGAAAGCAGCTGTATTTGTTAAAACCTACGAAGATGGGATTAAACGAGTAATGGAAGGAAGCTATGCATTTTTAATGGAATCAACCATGCTGGACTATGCAGTTCAACGTGACTGTAATCTAACCCAAATAGGTGGCTTGCTGGACTCTAAGGGATACGGTATCGCCACACCCAAAGGCTCTCCTTGGAGAGATAAAATATCACTTGCCATTTTAGAGCTACAAGAAAAAGGCATTATTCAGATACTATATGATAAATGGTGGAAAAATACGGGTGACGTATGCAACAGAGATGATAAAAGCAAAGAGTCCAAAGCCAATGCACTTGGAGTGGAAAATATTGGTAAAATTTGTCACAATCCTATATTTAAAGCAGTGTTTAATGTCGTATTTCAGGTGGCGTGTTTGTTGTTCTTCTCTGTGGACTTGCGCTTGCCGTTGTCGTGGCTATATTTGAGTTTTGCTGGAACTCCAGAAAAAATTTGAATACCGAAAATCAATCACTGTGCTCAGAAATGGCACAAGAACTTCGTTTTGCTATGCACTGCCATGGATCAAAATCAAAGCATAGACCACGAAAACGGAATTGCTTAAAATGCTCTTCTGGACCAACATACGTTCCGAGTAATATGAGTACGCCCAATGTGGGCGTTCACTATAATTATTTTAATTAAGTTGTATTCTGCTGATACACATTTATTCAACTAAATAGGGAAAATAAATTATTTTTTTATTTATACAATTTAAAATAAAATGAACCTTACGGATAAATTCGAAACGTCATTCATTATTTAACTCCTACAAATTTGTGGGTCTTGTCCAATTTTTCTTTCAGAACATGCAGATGGCAGTCATGCGGTTAACTGTAAATAGCAGCAGCAAACCTTTTGTGGCCATTCATCTTTGTGCTATAATCAAATCGTATGAGGTTCGCGACCCTGTACATTGTATATATACATATATTACAAGACACTCTCTAATGTTGTTGTTCTGGCATCCACGTTTATAAAAGTTCTGTATCGCCGTCGTGGACGACCAACATTTGAAGTGGTAAATCGACAGGGACGTTGTTCGTAATGTTTGGATGTTTACACATGTCCTCACCTTGGAATTTACTGTATTTGATTTGTTATGGTCAGAGGTTTCTGAAAAAAATAACACAATTTTTAGTGGAGCCTCTTGCTAAAACGTCTATAAAGCTTGAGATCCCATTATTTAGGAACATGTAGAAATACCCATGTATTTCAATATTATGCATTCTGTCATTGTCACTTCGATCCTACTCGGGGAATTTATCTCTAAGATATTCGAGCAACAACAAATCGGAAAAAAAATTTTGCGATGGGATTCGATTTGTCGCAAAATTTACTTTTATTCACTACTTAAGTTTAATGTAACTTAAAAACTGTAGTGTTGACTAGGAAACATCGCCAATATCGCAAACTTGTCGGACACCGATTTTAGCAAGGGCTGCCCTTTCTAATCAAAAATGCAATTAGCAAAACAGAAATAGAACAGAATTTACTGTATTTGATTTGTTATGGTCAGAGGTTTCTGAAAAAAATAACACAATTTTTAGTGGAGCCTCTTGCTAAAACGTCTATAAAGCTTGAGATCCCATTATTTAGGAACATGTAGAAATACCCATGTATTTCAATATTATGCATTCTGTCATTGTCACTTCGATCCTACTCGGGGAATTTATCTCTAAGATATTCGAGCAACAACAAATCGGATAAAAAATTTTGCGATGGGATTCGATTTGTCGCAAAATTTACTTTTATTCACTACTTAAGTTTAATGTAACTTAAAAACTGTAGTGTTGACTAGGAAACATCGCCAATATCGCAAACTTGTCGGACACCGATTTTAGCAAGGGTTGCCCTTTCTAATCAAAAATGCAATTAGCAAAACAGAAATAGAACAGAATTACAATATAATATTTGTATCGTTTTATTTTGTTAAAATTTATAATGTACAGCATATTTTACAATAAACGTTTTTCCTGAATTAATTATGTATTCAATTTTCGATTTACTAACACCAACCATGCGTAGACAACTTCAGGACATTTTTAGTAATGTTGATTTCTGACTTATACATGTCGTAAATACATTTTATTTTTTTATTGTTGTAAAGTATTTTATTGTCTGTTTGTATACTTTAATGTTATAAAATTCTAATTATTGTCGCGGAACTTACACATAAATTTTCTATGTATTTATTACAAGCACTACAACATTTACAAGTGTAATATTAATATTGCATGCGTTTACCAGCACACATAAATCTATATTTTTTATTTTTTTTATGACATGACCAGTTATTATTATTTTATATGTTGAGTTCTGGTTAAATCGGTGTACCTAAATTGGGACTTTTTTGTAATTTAGATATTTTTAGTTTTTGGAAAACATACATGAGAATTTAAGGATTGGCTTAAAAATTCAGATGAATGAAGTCGATATAGCTAGAATCAAACCAAACTAAATAATATATTAGATTTTCATTTCCTAATTCAGGGGGTCAAACTGTATCAGAAAATAATAGTGACTATTTCGATGATTTCGAATGAAAAGAATACTGTTTTTCCTATACTGTTTTTCCTATAATCCGGTGTCTGTTGATTATTAACTATTCATACCCATACCTTTTTAACCAGTATTAGTATTCGAATGACTACACTGTGTTACATCAAAAAGTTGTCTCAAAATGGTTCAAAAATTGTGACTCACAGCGAATAAGATTTTTGAGCATCCATTGAGGTAAATAAAGGTTCATTTTGTTACACACTGTCTTCAAAAAAATAATGCGTTTCTTAATTTTGACATACATTTCCTTAAATGTGCTTAGTTTAACAAAAAATGGTAACAATCAAATTTATTTATTTTAAAACTTGTTTTTAAAAATTATGTTCATAATGATTAAAACGGTTTACTCTTTATAAGTTGCCTTTTGTTATGTCGTGCTGGTGAACGCGGGCATTCTGTAGGAATAATATTGTGAATTATTATAAGGGTACTTAATAATGTTATTGGATTTGAACACCAGGTGATTTCAGATTGATCAAAGCTAGCACTGGTACGCGGTGTGATCTAATTAACGCATCACCAAGTATTATCATCATACACAATTTTTTTTACTATGATTTTCTGTATATACATATACAATAGTTTGTAATAAGCCAATATAGTACATATTTTTATTAAAAGTTTGTATAATAGTTCGATATGTTAAATTTTACATGCATTTTTGCATAGATCTTTTCTAGTAAGCTAGCTTAAACCCCTAGCCAAACTAAACTCGACAATTCAAAAACTTTCATTGAATAAATATGATTAGCATCAATTTGCAGCGATCTCCAAGTTATAGACATTAAAGTTACATAAGTTATTATTCTTAACGATTGTTGGCACAATTTGAAAATAGTTATGTATGTAAAAGAAAAAGGCATGGTAATTTATATTATGCGCACAATGCCGTATTCGCAAACCATAACTGTCAGTTTAAATAGTTTAATGCTGATTGTATTGCATTCATCGGCTAACATTTGTTTTAGTAAATAAGTACAAAAATCTGAATAAGATGAATTTGAATGACATCCAGTTTTGGTTTCTTGTTGAAATAGGTTTATATTATTTCTTTATGTATCTGAAAAGTAATGTCTACTTATAGATCGTGATATGTTTTCAGTTAATGATTAGTAAACTTTAGTTTTACGTAACTTTTAAGTAGGTACTTCCGTGAAATTGGAATTCTTTAGCATGATATTGACTGAATACGCCCATAATATCTTATATGCAATTGATTGTTATTGGTTGGAAGCATTTTGTAAGTTGAATTCCAAACGTAACATTACCTAGGTACGTAAACATGCTATCTCTCGAAAAATATATGTATGCTATATGACCAAAGTTTTTACACCGTGCGACAGTCATTTTGCACATTTCATAAAAACCTATCAGATATCCGTAGGTCTGCTTGAGTTGTTGTGTGCATCTTTATTTTTTTAATATTTACTCAAAATTAAAGAAATAAAAAATATCCGACTGATTTTTTTAAATCTGATGTGTTTCCAAATCTATCTCTAACAGTGGAAATAATTTAGATTTAACATCCGAGACACACGCCAGGCTTTGTAAATAAAAGTCTGGACTATATATGAAAAAGTGATTATATAAACTTTCAAAAATTTGTTAAATTATTAAACCTTCAATTTTTTGTTTGATATTGAAATAGATAGTTGAAAATATTTAATTGGGTTATATCGAAAATTATAAAGACGCACGATTTGAATACTTCCCCAGGCCATACACATTCTGATATGTGAATTTTTTTCAAATTTCTGTAAATTTGTTACATAATATCAATAATGATGCTTAATCATTCGTCGTTTAATCCGAAAATAGTATGCTGATAGTCACTGTCATCTATTGGACTTTTGATACCACGTAAAACCAATTTAAAGACATTTAATTTAAATTCGTCGTAAACTAGTAAGTTTCTAAAATGCATTAATCAAAGTGGCAAAAATTGTCAGTTATGTATGCATCTACACTCTGATTAACATTCAAATGTATTTACAATTTAGATTTAAATTAACTTAGATGACATTCAATTTATAATAAAGAGACTCATTGTTTTCACAATCATAATAGGGACTTAGGAGGTACCACAAATTATTTAATAATTATCGTATTCGTATAATCCCAGCTCAAAATCCTCAGTTTCTGGTTTTGCTTCATTCAACGCTTTTAATTGATCGTAATTCTCTAAAGATGCATAATAATTGTCATCTTTCGGCTTATTGTAATGCCCGAGTATATTAAGTTGGCGGCTTAGCACGTTTCCTTTAGAAGTCAATTTACTTTGGTCTATTTCTTGTGTTGACTTTTTAAAAGGCCATGTCGTTATTCCTCTCAGGAAGCGATGGAAGTGATTATTAACTTGCGGCTTTAATGTAGAATAAGTCAAGTAATTAATTATGTGTATAGGTAATAATTTATAGGAATAATAATGCAAATTAAAGTTTAGACTACAAATAATAATTTATAATCGGTATATCTCGCTTGTCGATTGAACTTTCACTTTTACCTTAGTAATTTAAATAGGTTCGTTCGTTGTTTTAACGAAAATTGGTAATTTACTACGAAAAAACGATAGCAAGTTCCTCTTGCGTTCTTATTTATTCCCCTGATATCTTTAGCTTTACCTACACAGAGAAAAAACGGAACAATACCCGTTTGATATTGTCTCCGCACCCATAAATTTTTCCATATAAATGTAATACAATTTCATACCAATACGATACCAAATCATAACAGTTACAAATGTTGATATGAATCCGTAAAATATTAATATGAATACTTGAAAGATTAATATGTTTATTCCCGTTAATCGTAGAGTTAAAGTGTATATTGCATTCGTGCAAAAGTATGTTACAGTAAGAAGGAAGCGTTTCCGACCCCATAAAGTATATATATTCTTGATCAGGGTCAATAGCCATCTATCGGCTATAAAAATTAGTGGATGTTATTTAAATGACACTTTATAATATACAATTGGTTTGAATTAAATCCATCCAACCAGCTTATATAGAAAAAATCGCAAATTTACTTCATTTTTTGATGCCAAAGACCCAAAGATCCAAATTTACCCTTGTAAATTTTAAGATTTGGATGACTAAATGTTTTGGCTCGAATTCGATATCATCAAAATATTTCGATTTAGTTTTAAGTATTTTCGCATACATTATATTCCATTTTCACCTCAGAGTAAAAATATTTGTATAACCTTTTGTGTCCAGGTAGCCATAGATATAAGATCAGTTTTAATTATATTCTGAAAGTTTTTAGGTTGATAGCTTTTACACTGACAAATTTCTTACGCATTCACTTATTAGAAACTAACATATATGTTAGAAATAAAGAAATATGTTTTAATCAAGTTTAAAGCTTTTCAACTTGCATAAAAAATGACCAGACGGAAAATTTTATATACAAAATGTTGTATGGAGATTTTCATTTTGTATGCTTTTTGAAAGTGTATAGTAAAATAAGTCAGTATAATCAAATAAACACCAAAATACAATTTTTAATTTTTTTTATAAATAAAAAAATTGATTTTAAAAGTAACTATTTACCTCATTCAAAAGTGATCGATTTCGTTCCCTGAAGTGTGATTTTCTTATTGGGTATGTCCTCGGAATACCAATAACGGAATGATCTCTTTCGGTGGAATCACTTGCAAAAAGTTCTGTTGCTGGAATTTTAATGCGGGCTGCTCGATTATTTCCAGGAAATAAGGTTTTTAGTTCTTTATTAGCTTGACTTTCTTTTTTATTGTAAGAAGCGGAATTGCCGATGCGGCGTGTGGTTGCTCTGGCGCCAGTCCTTTGCCCATTTTTATTACCTTTATCGCTTTGAAAATTTTGCTCATTAAGAATTGACATGCGATTTACATCGCTATATTGGTAACTATTTCCGTCAGGGCTTCTGTTTTCATCCATTAATATCGAATCAGAAGAGCTACCCGCTTGAGGATTATAGTTCGCTAGAACGCTGTTAATTATAAATATTTAAATTAAAAATGTTTGTTTAATAATTGAAATTTAAACATACTTTTTCCCGTTAGCTATTTCTTTGAGAGCAGCAGCACGGGCAGCCAACTCCTCGTCTCTACGTTGCTCTGTTAATTCCTTAGCCCTTTCAGTCCATATTAGCTCTTTGAGCTTTTGAAAACTGCCTTGTATAGCAACTGAGTTTTGACTTTCTTTAGCATTATTGCCGGTACCGTTTGGGACTCCCATGTAGCGATTTTTACTTGATCTACGTGATGAGGAAGAAGCTCCGGTTTGCGGTCGCGTTTCAGCTCCGTAATAACGAGATTGACTTGAACCAGGACTACTGGATCCAAATTCGACCAATCGTTGATGGTGCTCAAATGGAATGCGATGTGGTGTATTTGGCTCTCGGTTGACAACACGGCCAAAAACGGGTGACCTAGCTCTTTCCCTCGCACTCATCCTTAGTCTAATAACCGTTATAGGAAAAGAAGAAAAATAATATTGTTAGAAAATTAAATATATAACAACTCGAATTAGGACACACAAATCGAATCAAAAACTAAATGAATGAAATACCAAAACTTTAATAACTTCATGTTAATTCATTTTAAATGTAAAAAACGGACATACCAAAAAAATTCGTCTTAATAAAATCAATAAAAATCATTTTTTGTCGGCCCTAAAAGAGACTTACGATCCGAGCATTCGTGAGTTCAATAAAAGAGGTTCCCAAACATTATAAGTAAAGGGATCCCGATAGGTTGGTATTTCATTCGTGATTTCCGCAGCTCGGGATTGCCTTTTGGAAAAGCTAAGAAGCGTATAAAAAAATGTATTTTAATTTATTTTCTAAAAAGTTTTATATTTTAAATATATATATATTTTAAAACCTACATCCACATGGCGCGAAGCTGTTCGCATGTTGGCTCCTGTGAGTTAAGGGAAAATGTTTTTGGCACAAAAACTTCCCCTACTGTCCTTACATCACCGGAATTTACGATATGTGCTGATTCTTCAGTTTTAACTCCGTTGTTATTATTTAAATTTCTCTCTCGGCTACGAGCACCTAGATAATTGGCATTTCCAATCCTAATAGTTGCCAAAATTACCAATACATCAAATTGTATATATTTGATCTGCAATGATATAATTTAAGTTAAATATTTTTGGTTTAACTTAATTAAATTTTATATGCACATTTAAGTACCTTGTGCTACATTTATCAAAGCAAGACTATTACACAAAAAAAAAACAAGAAAGGAAGCTAGCTTCGGCCAGCCGAAGCTTATATACCCTTGCAGATAATTCCTATTAATTTACAAATCGCAAAAATATTAATTTTCCTATTATTTCTCATTAATTTTGCGTTCGTTTCAATGGCAGCTATATGATATAGTAGTTCAATTTTGATAAAATTAAAATCGAAATTCGAAAATATTTGAAAAGTGTTATATCCTAGATTAGAAGAGAATACAATAAAAACCAACGAAGCAATAATTTATTTCCTATTATATTCCCATTAATTTTCCGATCGTTTCTATGGCAGCTATATGTTATAGTCGTCCGATTTTAAAAAAAAATTTATTCGAAATTCAGAATTAGATAAAAAATGAAATTTCCAAAAGTAGGATGTTATAGGTTCAAAAACACCCAAGATATAATTTTTTTACATTTTTTTCCCCGATTGTTCCTATGAGAGCTATATGATATAGTTGTCCGATCCGGCTCGTTCCGACTTATATACTACCTGCAATAGAAAGAAGACTTTTAGGAAAGTTTTATCCCGATAGCTTGAAAACTGAGAGACTAGTTTGCGTAGAAACGGACGGACAGACGGACAGACGGACATGGCTAGATCGACTCGTCTAGTGATGCTGATCAAGAATATATCTACTTTATTGGGTCGGAAACGTCTCCTTCACTGCGTTGCAAACTTCTGACTGAAATCATAATACCCTCTGCAAGGGTATAAAAAACTTGGTAAAATTAACCAATATGATTGTGAAACAGTCCCCAACCACAAAGTTTGTCAATTCTACTAGTTAAATAGTTACTTTTACAACAAGAAATACACACAATTAGCAAAGTTACACACCGAAAAAATTACCCTGTACGGAAAATGTTGTTGGAACTGCTAACACTTTTCAAACAGTTTCAATGCAATTGAATACCCTAAATGTTTTCTCTGCTGCGGATCATGTATCTCAAAAAGTAATGCTTCGATCATCATGAAGCTTTTATAGAAATGTGAAATTTGTACATTTACATATTTTGTGTAAAAGAAAAAGAACAAAAAATATTACAAAAAGTGATTTAACTTTAAATGAGTGTCACAACAAGAATTTTTAAGATTTTTTCTGTAAGTTAGGTTCAAAAAGTTTCTACATTATTTTTTACCAAAACAAACTTGGTTTCATAAAAATCAGATCTACACAGCGACCTGTAGACTTGTAGATCCGCAGGTGGCCCACTTTTTTAAATCTAGCCTGACAGAAAAATTCCCACAGCAGGCATTTTGTACACTCAGAAAAGAAAAATTCCTTAATTTAAGTCCATTGACCTTGATTTAAGGAATAATGGTTTTAAAATGGCTAACAAGTCTATACGTGGACTTAAAAATGTTCATCCCATATAAATTTTAAGTCTACATGGCCTAAAAATGGACTTAAGTCCATGTAACAGTCCATATGGCCTTAGGCCATGTAGACTGAAAATGTATATGGGATGAAAACTTTTAAGTCCATGTATAGTCTTATTTAGCCATTTTTAGTCCATCGTTCATTAATTTAAGGAACGTGGACTTACATCAAGGTAATTTTTTTTCTGGGTGTAGGATAAAAGAAATACATGTGTAATTAACATAATCCCTTATTAGTTAAAAAGAGGAAAAACATGAAAAATTGCAGTTTTTATGTATCTCCCCCCTTAACCCTACATAAAAATACTTTGCGAAAATTAGGCTGCAGTCTAGGGCGGCAAAATCAAAAATGCCTTGGGCGGCGAATTGTCTTAATCCGCCCCTGCGTATAGGTCAATATTACCAATCAAATTTTTTTGTGGGTAGATACCCACTACTCCCGCTAACCAACTTTAAAACCAGAATAAGCGCTTATTATAAGTCTGGGCTCGAAAAGGATTGCATACTCAAGATTTTGGAATTCTTTCCATTTTAGAATGTGTATTCAATGACAAGTTTTATAACACCAGCTTACAAAAAAAATCGATAAAATATACCTTAAAGAAAACCTTTGATTTCCGGTAAGGTAGGTCTTTTCTGATTAAGAAAAGGGCACTTACAATTTTTTTATAGTCAAATTTTTTTTAAGTGTAAAAAATGTTTTTGACTCTTTTTAATTTTTAATTATTAGTTTAGAAGTTACACTTAAAACGCAAAATTGCTGGCATAAATGGCATCTTAGACTTAGAAAGAAGTGGACGACAACTAACAATTGTTGTAATAAATTTATCACACTTCTTAATATAAAAAACTTACCTATATGGATGCCTTATAATCTTTTTCGCTTTGAATCACCTTTTTAAATGTGTTTTGCCCCAAAGTTGGAAAAAATTTTGTGTTTCCCGGATTTTTAGAGTTATAAAAGGCGTACGGATTTTTGTAAGGCATCCAAGCAATTCAAAAGTGACACTTTTTATCTTTCGAATCCCATAATCAAAATAATTTAAAAGATTAGAATAAGCGAAAGAAAACATAACCATCCACATACAGTTGCCGTCAAAATAATTGTCAAACTCCCGCCCTACGTTTTAAAAATTGTAGACTTGGCGCTGCTAAATAAAATACACAGAGAAAAAAAATAAATTATATTTTCGAACATACCAGATTGGTATTTTCTAACATATTAATAAGGTATTTTTCAAACAAGATTGTTATGCGCTCATATCAAATTTAGCTACAAAATAACTCGGAAAAGCATTCTGCCACGAAAAAAAAATGTGGGCATGGCTCAGAGGTCAAGGTGCTAGGTCCTGATATTATTTTGTGCTAGGGGGAACGAGGTTCAAATCCCGCTCACAACACAACACAACTTTTTATTTTTATTAGTAATCTTATCATATTAACTTTTTACCAGTTTTGTTCTTAACATTGTTAGGAAAATAATAATTATGCGTCTTAAAAACTTTTTACTTACTCTGCCTTAGCCGATTTTTGAACCGGGGTCCTCTCGCATCAGCGTCAGATGCGTTACCTATTGGGCCATAGCGACAAGTTACACGCGAGTATATTAGCTAAACTTGAATGTAAAATTAGCTGGTTCAAGCATGCTTAACTTTAAAATGCAACTTTGGATATTATCTATAGGGAAATATTTATATTCCAATGTTTACTTGACCAAAATATTTTAAAACGTTAGTGTTTTTTAAATTACTTATGCATTGTAAAAATTTATTTACTCACTACGAAGTAAATGCAACTGTGACCACCGCATATAAAGCGTTATAATACCATTATATACCAGAAATACAACAAAAATACAACTTTACAGCCATACTATTTTTTCGAAGACTTTTCAATGCCCCATTTGATATGAAAAACATATCAATCTTTGAAGTATGAATTCGTATTATTTTAATATGGAAAAATTGATATGTTAAATTGAGGAGACAATATCAATCGGGTATTGTTCCGTTTTTGTATTGTTCCGGATGGTCCGTAAGGTTTTATGCGATAGTAAGGCAATGTTTTCTCGGTGCAACCCTAAATTCTTCCTCTTGACTGTGAAAATTGGAACAATGACTGCGAGAACAAATCAAATCGATGTCGGAAAAAAATTAAATAATGCTTCAGCTCATTGTTTTTTGGGTTTTTTTTAATTAGGAAACTCCCTAATCTGTTGAATTGCTGAATTGTTGAAAATTCAACAAAAAATTTCAGCAATTAAGGGAACGACCCAAAATGGTTCCTGTTGAATTTTCAAGCAGCTGTTATTTGTTGAAAAATTTCACGGAACTTAAAGCATGTAAAATTTGATTTATTATTGCTAGTTACTATCTAAAAGTGTTACCAAGGTAAAAAAAACCACAAATATGCTTTCTAAGTTGATTTTAAAATAAATAATGCGTACTGGTGATCCTAAAATGTTACAGAGTTGCCACGACTTTAAAAAAAGGTGACAACTCTGGCTTTTCAGCAATTCAACAAAATTTTCAACAGCCCCGAGGCTGTTGAATTGCTGAAATTTCTGAAAGTTGACTTTGTATGGAACAGCTGATTAACAGCTGACCAAAATTCAACAATTCAGCAATTCAACAGTTTAGGGAATCCCCCTATTATTTGTAGTTTGTTATGAGCGGCAAAGCGTTTGCAAGTAGCTATGTATGTGTGGGCCAAAATGTAAGATGTTGTGCGTACGAAAACATCAATGTTTGCAGCAAAGTGTCAAAATATGTTCTGCACTTCGTAAATATAACTAATATTAATTAAAAAATTACTTTGTACTCCTATAAAGTTCCAAAGTTGCTATAATTTACCAAAAACAGCATGAATTTGGTCTTGTTTACAAATTTTTCATATTAATATTGGCTAGGCAGAGGCGTAGTAAGAGCGGAGCGTGGGGTACGGGAGGTTAGGCTCCTTCCAGTCAGCAATATGTATGCATACTTGTTGTAGGATATGTTATAAACGTTCAAATATGTTTTTAAACTATTTTCTAAATCTATTTATTTTATTATTCTACAATAAAATTAGGAGAACTCAATTTTACGACAGTTTTCCCGAGTTGAAATCCCCCTTCGTTAATGTTGAGCTGAGCAACTGCTCTTCAGTCAGCTGTTATTGGATGGTAGATGGTGGATGGAGTTCTGTGGGAACACGAGTTTCACATTCGTCAAAAATCCCAACCATTTCAAACGGATGGACTCTACGGTAAGAGGCTATAAGACGCATAATTAACATTTCCTTAAAAATATTAAGAACCAAACTGTGGTAAAGAGTTAATATGATAAGATTACTAATAAAAAAAACAAGTTGTGTTGTGTTGTGAGCAGGATTTGAACATCGTTCCCCCGAGCACAAAATAATATCAGGACCTAGCACCTTGGCCTCTGAACCATGCCCACATTTTTTTTTCGTGGCAGAATGCTTATCTGAGTTAGCGAAAATGCAATACAAAATTTTATAGCAAAATTTGATATGAGCGCATAACAATCTTGTACGAAAAATACCTTATTAATATGTTCTGTGGGACCGAAATTTATATGAAAAAATACCCGAATGATGATCAGTTTTGGTATTTTTTCTCTGTGTAGTAAAACTGATCGAGCAAACTTCAAACTGAAATCATAACAACCTTTGCAAGGGTATAATACTAACAGCAAAGGAATAATGTCGGGGTCAAAAGGGTTTAATAGTTTCTCATATAGGCAAAAAAAACATAGAATATGCATACCATTAACTTGATTTGTATCAGGGACCGTAAATAATCATTATTTGAGATTTTTGTTTTAAAAGGCCTACTGAGGTTTTTACAAGTTTCAATCAACAATTTAACTGGTTTTTATGCACTTTATAGACATGAACAAATAACAGCTAATTTGCTTTCCAGATTTGTTGAAATGCATATACTTTGTGGATAAGAGTAAAAAGAACGTTATTTTTGACGTTTAAAACAAAATATCACAGTAGTCTTTTTAAAAAAAAAATCTCTAATAATGATTATTTACGGTCCCTGATTTGTATACGTACCAATATGCGGCTGCAATGCATTTTTGTGTTGTTATATTAGAACTCCGGACTGGTCACCAAATTTATTATCGCTTCTCTAAATTGCATCGGATTGATATATACTTAAATTCGTGGTAGTCTCTGTCATTTTGAAAAAATGTTGATAAGATATCAATAAATTTCAAGGAATAATTGATGTTAGACAAATAATCATGCAAACACAGAAAAATTTCAATGTTAACTAATCCAAAATACACCAGTTTACAAAAACAAGAGAGAACGCTATAGTCGAGTTCCTCGACTATTTAATACCCGTTACTCAGCTTAACAACTTTAATATAAATATGCCTTCTTGTATGTTTTTCGCGCGCCCCATTTCAAATAATTTACATTTTGCATTCACATATTCCAAATTAGAGTGACCAGCTTTTTTCAGCAGGAGTGTTGAGCACGCGGCGACGCGCCATCTGTGGCACGGAATTGGTAATATTTATACACAAAACTGTGGGCGACACGGCTTTTTGCAGACGGAGTTAGACGGGCGTGGCACCTTGATTAAATAAACTTGCGCTGCGTAGGAAGTGTAAAAAACACTTTTGGTTTTTTATTTTTTATCTTGAGTTCTGATAATCTGATTTCGGGCTAACTTTATTAGTCATGTCGTTGAGTTCAAGACAATAGTTTAGAAGCTACACCTCGTCAAAGTTAAAAAAGTGAAATCAAATATGCAAAAACTGTGGCATAAATCGATTTTTTAAGTTGGGAAAAGCGGGTATTACAGCCCTGTTAGAGCCCTGTTGTCTCAGTTAACAGCTGTAAATATAAAATTAATTTTTTGGTGGATTCTAATGATCATTACCTGGTCTTTTTTTGGTAAATTTCGGTTTTTAGGCGTGTATTTTTAAGGAAGCCATTTATGTTAGAGCTGTTGCATTTTTTTCAACTTTTTTGACGCAGTGTATCTTCCAAACTAATGACTGGAACTCAATGCGGTGTATTAATAAGAAAGTTAAAGGATATTCAAAAGCAAAAACTTTTTTACACTTTAAAAAAAAATTGACACCATACAAAAAATTTTAAGTACCCATTTCTTAATCACGGATATTTTCTTTACCAGAAAAATACGGTTGTCTTTAATTAGGGTGACGTCTATTTTTATACCCGTTACTCGTAGAGTAAAAATGTATATTGTATTCGTGCAAAAGTATGTAACAGATAGAAGGAAGCGTTTCCGACCCCATAAAGTATATATATTCTTGATCAGGGTCACTAGCCGAGTCGATCTAGCCATGTCCGTCTGTCCGTCTGTCTGTCTGTCTGTCCGTATGAACGCTGAGATCTCGGAAACTATAAAAGCTAGAAGACTGACATTTTGCATGTAGATTCTAGGAGTTCCTACGCAGCGCAAGTTTGTTTCAAAAGGGTGCCACGCCCCCTCTAACGCCCACAATCGCATATATACGATATTGAAAATTTCAATATTTTGGAAAAATAAAAATGCAGTTTTATTGTGTTTATCAATACTTATCGAAATGTAGAAGAAATTTTTTAAATCGGACCATTCGTTAAAAAGTTACGGCGGATCAAAGTTTTTATCTCCATGTATAATCCTTCGCACTCCCTTTAGCTGAGTAACGGGTATCTGATAGTCGGGGCACCCGACTATAGCGTTCTCTCTTGTTTTTGTTCTAAATACCTAAAGCATTGCCATATATTGAGTACAGCTTAATTTTACCAAGATAGAATAAGTGCCTAGACTATCAAATTCCCGTTACATAGCTTAAGGATTGCGAGAGAAATGGAATATGTATCCAGCAAAGCGCTGGCCTATCATCGCATCATTAGAGGAAATTAATTTTTAGCCTGTAACACTTAAATGCATAGACTGACTTGAATATTTTTTGGTGTGGCGATAACTATTGACAAATCCGATAAAATAGACCTTACACGAGTATGTAGCTACTTTATAGTCTTTCTTCTACCTGTTACATATTTTCCAACTAATGCAATACACACATTTACTCTACGAATAACGGGTATAAAAATAGTTTTAGCTGCTGTATAAAGACATATTTACATGTACCGCTAGGTTTAGTTACTAAATTGACTATAGATCTGCGGTCGGCACACACATACGTTGACATTTTGTTTTATATTTGTGTGAGTAATTTGCACTGGGCAGCTCATCGATGTGTGTGTGCAGACCGGTGTTCTACGTTATACGTGTGCGAACAGCGCGTCGGCAGAACAAAACCCTATGCTCACTTAATAGGGTGCAGCCGACCGCTGCTATAGATCCTTTTTGCTCGTCGTCTTACTAAGAGATTTGGTAGATATCCGAATTTTATAGAATTTAAAAGAAATAATAATGTTGTTAGCACACTTTACTGAAATAATAATAAATAAAATTCTCAAATTCCTCAAATTGCAGTGACCGTATACATAGTTACTGAATACCGACATACATTTTTGTTAAAAAAAGGATTATAAGTATAAGTGAAAGATCAACATCAATTTCACTCATTCTTCCGTTAAATTACTTGCTAAATATATCCATTTAATTTTTGATTAACATTTTTAATCGTGGCTTTGGGTAGCCAGTGATGGTCCCCTACAACCTCAGAAAATACGTCCCTGTATAACACTGGACAACAAACATTGTTTTATGTGACTGTTTATTTAAAAATTGTCAGATTCACTTCTTGCCGACTAAAAAAAAAAAAACAAGAAGGAAGCTAGCTTCGGCCAGCCGAAGCTTATATACCCTTGCAGATCATTAATTTACAAATAGCAACAAATTTTAATTTTGTATTATTTTGACATTATTTTTTCTATCCTTCCCTATGGCAGCTTTATGATATAGTCGTCCGATTTTGATAAAATTAAAATTGAAATTCGGAAATACTTAAAGAGTCATGTGCTAGAGTAGAAGAGAATACAATAAAAACCAAAGAAGCTAAAATTTATTTCCTCTTACTTTCCCATTAATTTTCCGATCGCTCCAATGGCAGCTATATGATACAGTCGTCCAATTTTTTAAATATTTAATTCGAAACTCAGAAATATTTAAATAATAATATTCCCAAGAGTAGAAGGTAATATTTTAACAAACACCGAAGATAGAATTTTTTTTATCGTTTTTTTTTCGATCCTTCCTATGGGAGCTATAAGATATAGTTGTCCGATCCAGACGACTCGTCTAGTGATGCTGATCAAGAATATATATACTGTATGGGGTCGGAAACGTCTCCTTCACTGCGTTGCAAACTTCTGACTGAAATCATATTACCCAATGCAAGGGTATAAAAAGTGTAACTCCAAACTTATATAACATAGGCCGACAAAATGTACCTTGTCGGTTTCCAGGCCTGCCACCATTTTATTTCGATAAATGGGGATTTTTTATCATAAGTTGCCACTACGCCTATAGTCCATCAGCTTTGGTATTTGCGGTATCTTTAATTTAAGAAAATCACAATTTTTCTTCGTCTTTTGGGATATGTCTTTAAGAATGGTCAACCCATTTTGGTAATCTTTTCGAAATTAAATTGTTACATATCTCTTTTCTGCGGTAGTGTTCATTCATTCATTCTAATTGTTTTTCTGACCACATTCCCAGTGACGATTCACAAACTGTGCCTTTTTTTGTGGTTAAGTTGTAATTAATTTTCAAAAACGACCACATAAAAGAGACGTGTAACTATTTAATTCCGAAAAGATTACCAAAATGGGTTAACCACTCTTGAAATACCAAGAAAAATTGTGATTTTATTAAATTAAAGATACGGCAAATACCAGAGCTGATGGACTATAGGCGTAGTGGCAACTTATGCTTAGAATAGCCTCATTTATCGATATAATATGATGGCAGGCCTGGACACCGACACATGACAATTTTGTCGCATGTGTAATCCATTCCTTATTTTGACGACAAACAAAAGGAATAAATCATCAATAATGGGAAACGCTAAAAGTACATTTGTACATTACTCTAGTCGATTTCGGTCCTTTCCTAACCAACCTATGTATATTTACTTTTCGCTACACATAGTTTCAACGTCATTAAAGTTATTTACAAATGGTCACGTACCTAACAAGGGATCAACTTATTAAAGTCTTATAAATAATGTATAGCATTTATTTACATTAAATGGCATGGCAATTCTTTTGCAATTAAACTTATTTATGTGCATTTCAAAGTGCAGGTGCGGTGCTCAGTAAAGAATTTATTAATAGTGCAATTAGCTTGAAAAAGGTGCAAATGCATGTATTTCAGCATAAATGTTTAATTTACTTTTTCCTGCATTTTTGGTATTTTCCAATTATGCAATTATGCATTTTAAGAAAGATGCGATTCATCGTCCAAGAACAAAAAAAAGGAATGCACTTTTGATGCCAAGTTTTATAGAAGATCCACAAGTCAGATCTCATCCTGCTGAAAAGAACCGTATTTTAAAAATAACTTACAAGGATACATACGAAATAAAATAAGGTGTTGGTCATAAATCTTTAAACGAAGACTTCTTAGCACAATTTGAATGATAATAAATGTATTTTACCTTTACTTTCAGGTTCTTTTGAAGCCCCGCCGACTAATACTTTGACTTTGATGAATGTGTTTTCGTTACTTCGTTTGTTTATGTGGATGTTGAAATATTTATTCTTTGCGATAATTTTTAAAAGCTTTCCATTATTTAAGAACGTGAAGAAGACTATAAGTATTTTATGAATGAAATGAAAAGCGTATGCTTTTGTTCTTGTATATACCGTTTTCTTGAGAAAATATCAAATAAAGTCATGCGCAGAAACAAATATTCCCGACATGGTTAAAGCTCCATTGAAGCTGGGAAGAGAACTTACATATTATTCTTTAAAAAGTGTACTGTCCACAACAATAAAATAAATGTCAATATTAATTTTTAAATTAGAAACTATAACAAATACCAAATATAAATTTAACTTTGTCCTTGGGATATGAAATACAAATTAAAAAAAAACCTTCTAAAATTTCGAAACATCCACCGAACACTCAACAAGCGCGTTTTATTGAAAGAATTGTTATCGTGTACCTGCAATCAAGAAATTTTACTACGACTTCTCCAACGCTCAGTGGTAATTTAACTAAATGAATATTGTCTTGTACCGTATGCAACTTGCATTCTAAATTAACGCGTGCGCGAAGTTGTGAAGCTCATGACTCTCTTTTAAGTTCACCATATTCGACAATAAAGTTGAGCCTTCCGGACTAAAAGCTTAAAGCTTATGTGTTCTAACATCTAAAAAATTCTTTAATGATAACAGTCGATCTAAAAGGTTGTTTCACTTGTGTCCATTTAAATGGGAAAGTGTAAGCCACGTCTGCTTTAACCTCACACTGGTTGAATTGTTGTATGTACATTAGGGTGATCGAAAAATACAAATTTAATTCTCATCAATGGCTATGGCTATAAGTGTACAATAAAACAAGGGGGAACGCTATAGTCGAGTGCCTCGACTATACAAAACCCAGTACTCAGCTAAGGGAGTGCGAGAGAGTTGGAGATGAGCAAGCAGCAAATCGACTGTTTGAAATCGAGCCACCTTGCGGATCTCTTATTATTGTTTAATGAATGGTCCGATCAAAAAAGTTTTTGACATGCTGATAGCTATTGACAAAGCAAATAAAATAAAATCTACACTGCAAAAAAAAAGGAATTTGCAAATGTGGGCGCCACAAAGCTCTTCGCTGCACAGAAACCCCTAGAAATCGCAACCTTCTAGTTTTTCCGAGATCTCCGTACGGACGGACAGACAGACGGTCATGTCTAGATTGACTTATTGATTCTGAGAATATATATATACTGTGTATGGTTGGAAACGCATCCTTTTCCCTGTTACATACTTTCCGACAAATACAATGTGTACATTTTACTCTACGAGAATGTGCTTAAAGTTTCCTTAAAAATTACCCATACGACACTTAAGGCATTATTTAAAATGTTGTTTTTAAGTTGTCAAAAATCAAAACGCCTACTTCCTACAAAGTTACAAAGTTTCAATGAATTATATTGTTTTATTATTCCTATGGGAACCTTAAGATTTAGTAGTCCGATCCGGCTCGCTCTGACGCATGCACTACCTGCAATATAAAGAACACTTTTGGGAAAGTTTCATCGCGATAGCTTTAAAACTGAGAGACTAGTTCGCATAGAAACGGACAGACGGACATGGACTCGGCTATTGCTGCTGATCAAGAATGTATTTACTTTATGTGGTCGGAAACGCCTCCTTTACTGCGTTACAAATACGCGGGTATAAAAACGAAGACAATTGCATTTCTTTTTTTTTAACATTCCATGTTACCAAGGAAGTAGAAGACCAATAAAAGGCAAGAAACGCAGATTAACTCGTACGTTATTAAAATCAGGCACAGGAAAATGAGAGTCTAACAGATTTTAAGGATACCCCCAATTAGGTTCTCGCATGAAATATAAATAATAATTCCAACTCAGAGCTTTACAAATTTGATTTATAAGTGTCTTCAAAGCTTCCAGTAGCTTTTAAAAATACTTAGTTTCCTTTATTTTGTACACACTATTATACATGTTTTGGATAACGAAGAAAAATGAGTGAAAATATTAAAGTTGTAGTTCGATGTCGTCCTATGAACCGAAGTGAAAAAGAAAAAAACTGTGATGTAAGGCGTTTAATTATGTGTATGCTAAAGTATTTTTGGTTTTTAAATCTTATCATAATATTGCATTTCTTTTGGAAATTATCGATTTTGCAGGAAGTAGTGCAACTTGCTGCGACATGATTCTAAGCTTACACTCATAAAAATTTGTTTCTAGATTTAGAAATTTATCTTTTTAATCGGCCAGCCTTTGAATATAGGAGTAAGAAAGGAAGTAAACTTCGGCCAGCCGAAGTTTATATATGTTTATAGATGCCTGTAAAATATTTTGGGGCACATATTTTTCCTTGTACTTTTTTAAGCCTGTTCACTGCATCAAGTTGGTTGTGAATAGAGGTGAACAAATTACTTCAATGGCTCATAGGTTTTGATTGACTCAAATAATGATGGAACATTAATTGCAATTATTTAGAAGGGCATCTAAACCATTTTTTGGCATAGGTTTTAATACAATTAATCACAGATCCTCGAAGATATCTTAAATCAAAGATATTTTATTCAAACCGCGATTGCACAAATACCACCCGTTAAACGCGAAAACTAAGTATGCAGATATGCTTATATACACAGAAAAAAATATGACAAAATATCAAATTGATAAGTGTTGGTTATTTTGATCTTTTTTAAGATCAAGTTTTGTCATATCATTCTAACATAAATATGATAAAATATCAAAAATGTTTAGGTATTGCCCAAATCGGTAGCCTAGGGGACTAAAGCGTGCGGATTATATGTTATGTAAGCGTATAGTCGGAAGTGTGTGTTCAGTCCCACGTCGAAGCGGAAGTTCTTTGCGTCTTTTAATTTTTTTTTTACTCAATAATATTCATATTTAATACAAATTGAGATTTAGTTTATGTAACACACACATAAATGGCTAAGTAAGAGTAAAAACCTCGAACCCAAGAGAACAAAATATGAATGTACTTTGTACATGGCGCAGCTAGTAGAGTGTTTGACTGCAAACTGTGATGCAAGGGGTTCGATTCCCACGAGCGACCAAGATGTTTTTCTCAAGTTAGTGAGTTATTTGATTTTTATATTTAAATTTGTTAATTGTACAATAAATTCAGTTATTATTTCAGATAAAATCTGTAACTAAAAGTTGTTTATGTACGAACATAAAAATAAGTTGAGAAACAGGAACCAACAACAACACCGACTGACAGGAAAGGGTGCAACAGGGATAATTCCCGATTCCCCAATTTTTATTTTCTTTTTCTTATTCAATTTTTATTTTAAAAATTAATCTTTCTTAAGATTGATTTAAAAATATCAACTTGATATTCTCGAAAATATCAACTTGATATGTTGGAAATATCAATGTTGCATTAATTGATATCGGCCCAAATTTGATATGAAATAATGTTAACTTGAGTGCAATTTCATATCAATTGTTTTTTCTGTGTCTATATTTATACCTATCAAAATGTAGAAGACATTTTTCAAATCGGACCATTCATTAAAAAGTTATACGCAATCAAAATTTATATATCTATGTCCCTCGCACTCCCTTTAGCTGAGTTACGATTATTAGTCGGGACACCAACCCGAGTACAGCGTTCGCACTCCCTTTAGCTGAGTGACGGGTATTAGATAGTCGGGACACCAACCCGACTATAGCGTTCTCTCTTGTTTTAAATATTACCTTCTACTCTTAGGAATATTATTTTTTTAATATTTCTGAATTTCAAATTAAATATTTAAAATATCGGACGACTATATCATATAGCTGCCATAGGATAGGTTAACCCGGACGGCCCTCACGGGGTCACGCATAGGCCAATATGGCCCTTAGTTGTCCGGTCGATGCGCATGAACCTTGAGATAAGTTAAGAGGTTTTTATGTCCATAAGGATCGAGGTGTTTTTGGCGAAGGCGAGGTATCTTCTTCTCGCTCTCGAGAGAGCCGGGCAATTGCAGATAAGATGTTCCAGGGTTTCGATAGCCCTCGATTCATCACATTTCCTGCAGGTGCGACTGTTGAGTATTCCGAGTGTGGTTGCGTGTGATGCGGCCAGACAGTGGCCTGTAAGGATTCCCACTAACAGTCTGCAGTCTGTTACGCAGTACATACTGGCTGAGTTTGTCGTTGCGGTCTTTGCACATAGTTCTTGAGATTCGGCAGGTCTTGGGATTCCTCCACCTGCTTTTTGCTCGCGTGTCCGCCTGTTTCTCCAGGGCGCTTTGGAGCGTTCGGAGGGAAACAGGCACGTTCTCCGTTCTGTCGTTCGCCACCTCTACGCCCTCCTTTGCAAGAACGTCAGATGTCTCGTTGCCATCGATGCCCTGGTGACTGGAAACCCAATAGATCCGCACTGACTTTGTCGTGCTAGGGAACTGACTGTTGACGACTGCATGGATCTTATCGCCGCTTGGCTGTCCACGAACGAGTTGTCCACATCGTGTGGTCGATTTAGCAGCTTTCCTTATGACGAAGACTTCCTCCTGGAATATGCTGCAGTCATTGGGTAGCTTAAAGGACAGCCTTATTTCAGGGTCCGTACAGTAAAAGCCCGCTTCTACTCCTTCTTCCATCTTGGAGCCGTCCGTGTATATATTGAGGTGTTGAGTCTGGTCCCGACCCGTTTTATGGTCCGTTTTGTTGATCGTGCTTCGGCCGATTGAACTTTGCCCGAAGCTTAGCGCCGTCATGTTACCTGATGCAACTAGACGTTGTGCTGCCTTTCCTGCAGTCAGTTGTGCTTGTCTATGGGGTCGACTACGACAAGCGAGGATCGTTTCTAGAGCTTTAGTTGGGGTTGACTTCAGCGCCCCCGTTATGCAGACGAATGCCTGCCGCTAAATTTAATCCATAAGCTCGGTGTACGTCGTCTTTTCAGTGGCTTGCCACCACACTAAGGCTCCATACAGCAGAGTCGGACGCACCACCGAGATGTAGATCCAGTGCATCAGAGTAGGTGACAGGCCCCATGTGCTGCTAAGCATCTTCTTGGATGCATATCGCGCAATGGTGGCCTTTTTCACCCTTTCCACTACATTGGGTCTACATGCCAGCTTGCAGTCCAGTACTGTGCCTAGGTACTTGACGTGTGTTTTTGGGGTCAGCCTGGTTGCTTCCATTATGAAGCTAAGGGTCGATAGACAAACTCCCGGAATAATTATGCCTATGTCGTCCGCATAGGCTGTTATTTTTGGGGCTCTCCTCTCGGATCTCTTGATAAGATCGTCGACCACCAAATTCCATAGGAGAGGCGAGAGGACCCCACCTTGTGGTGTGCCTCTGTGTGCCCCCTTTACCATGGAAGCAGTGCCTCTTGATGTAGGCGTGCTGGTTGGATGATGATCCCTACATCGTTCCTGATGTGTAGATCCAGCAGCTTTTCCAGTGTCTTGAGTATGAAAGAGGTAAGGCTTATCGGCCTGTGATCCTTGGGGCTCGCGTGTCTGCACTTTCCCGCTTTTGGGAGGAAGACAATCCGAGAGGTCTTCCATTGGATTGGGATATAGCCCGTGCTTAGACATGCAGAGTATATTTCATATATATATAGAAGTGGTCCTTTCTTTGGCCGCCTGTAACATGGCTGGAAATATTCTTTTATATTCCTTGTAGCCCGCAAAGGAGTCTATGGCCCAGTTGATTTTCGTAGTTGTTATTAGATTGTTTGGGAGCGTTCTTCGCCAGTTGCTATGTCTTGGTGCGTGCTGACGTCTAAGACATCCGTTCATAGGAACGATCGGAAAATTAATGGAAAAGTAATAGGAAATAAATGTAAGCTTATTTGGTTTTTATTGTATTCTCTTCTACTCTAGAATATATATAGCTGCCATAGAACCGATCGAAAAATTAATTGGAAACAAATTATAGCTCCGTTGGTTTTAGTTGTATTCTCTTCTACTCTAGGATATGATTTTTTTATATTTCCGAATTTTTAATAAAATTCAACAAAAATCGGAATTATATAGCTGCCATAGGGAAGGATAGAAAAAATAATGTCAAAATAATAATAAATTAAACATTTTTGCGATTTGTAAGTTAATAGAAATGATCTGCAAGGGTATATAAGCTTCGGCTGGCCGAAGCTAGCTTCCTTTCTTGTTTATGTTGAAGTGAGTCAAGATTACAAGGTAACTTATAAGTTCACACTTTAAAGTTAACTTTTGCAGGGCTCTATTATTAATACACCATATTGTTAAATCGCTACATGAGTTAAGATATTGACTAACTTTTATTATGTTAGAACTTAAAAACAAATCGCAAATTCTTTAGACAAAGATTCTCCAGCGTGTGGAAAATTAATACATTTAGTATTTCGATCTTTTTAAACTTAAAATTTAAAAATAGTCATACCCCAGAGTAGAAGAAAATGTAAAAAAATTCAACAAAGATATAATTTTTTTCCCTATTACTTTCCATTTAATTTTTCGACCGTTCCTACACACAAAAAAAAAACTTGGTAAAATCAACTGTAATAATTGTCAAACAGGCCCCAACCAGCAAAATTGTCAATTCTACTTAGTAAATAGTCATTTCACAACAACAAAATACACACAATTAGCAAAGACACAAACCCAAAGCAAAAACAAAATACACGTAACTATTTTAATATTTACGTAACTATCTTTGTTTTTTTTTCGATTTTTTTCGATCCTTCCTATGGAAGCTATTAGATATAGTTGTCCGATCCGGTCGGTTCCGACATATATACCCAAAATATTTTACAGGTATCTAGAGGCGTCTTCACCGAATTTTTAAGACAAATAAGACCATTGTACTTCGGAGGATGGAATTTATAGAATTTTTTCCGTAAGAACGTGAAAAGTAACAAGTATTTTTAAATCCCATTTTACATAAATATCTGACACATTCGTAAAAATGTGCCTTTCATAGCAAAATTATAGTTTTAAGGGGTTAATATGCCTAAAAAAAAATCCCCCCCCCCGGGACATCAACCCGACTATAGCGTTCTCTCTTGTTAGATTTTCAGTCGACCAAAATTCCCATTTTTCATCTTTGTCAAGCTCCTGCTTGCACCAATCATATTGATCTGCATGGTAAAAATAAACTCTGATCATCAATTGTTGGGAAACGCTTTATAAATAATATTTTGTAAGCTAGTGTAAAATATTAAATACTTTACTCATTCTATATACCTTTTTTTCTTCAGAAAATCGTCGAAATTAATGAATATGCAGTTTCCGTCACAAATCCATCAGCTCGCCTCGCTCAAAAGAAAATGTTTATATTTGATAGTGTTTATGATATGATTACGAAAACTGAAGTGATTTATAACGAAATGTGCTATTCATTAGTAGAGAGTACTATCGAGGGATATAATGGAACAATTTTTGCTTACGGACAAACGGGTTGTGGAAAAACACATACAATGCAGGTAATAGTCTTAAAATATGTAGTTATGTTTCGTGTTAAGTACGTAAGTTTATATTTATAATAAAAGCTAACTACTACTACTACTACTAAATAAAAATCACTATCATTCTATACTATGAAATACTCATTGTATACCCTTTTAAAAATTTACATTAAATTACGTATATTAACTTTACACACAAAAAAAAAACTATGTAAAATCAACTATTTAATAGTGAAAACTGCCCAACCCATAAAAAATAGAAAATGGCCCAAAAAATAGTAGATTACCTATAAAATAGTAGATGACCTACAAAATAGTATTTAACCCGAAAAAAATTGTTGTTTTTTTTAATTATGTTTTTAACTTTTTTTATTTTTAATTTAATTTGTTATATTAATTTATATGGAAGTTATTTATAGACACTTACATTTCACAGATACATAAACTTACAAATCAGGTTTTTTGCCTCCGCTGGGAATCGAACCGGGGCCGCAACCATCGGCCACAGAAGAATGCTTTTTGTAGAGGAAAATCTATAGACTTGAAATCAACATTTAACAAAAAAAAGAAAAGAAAAATATCATCTGCAAAAGCGAGATTTGAACTCACGACCCAGAGGCTATGAGTTGGATACTCAAACCACCCTAAGTCCAAAAAAATAGTTGACATCGAATTTATAATCGTATTTTTAAAACAACAAAATATATGAAGGAAAAAAATAGTTGTGTTACGATATTAATTGTGGTGTTACTATTTAATACCACCCCAAAAAATAAAACAACAAAATACACGCAAACAAATAAAATAGTTTTGCTACGATATTAATTGGGACGTTACTATTAACTTGCCAAATGAATAAAACAACAAAATACATGCAAATTTCGTAAATAGGTTTTCTACTATTTTAATTGTTAAATACTATTCAATGACCCAAAAAACAAAACAACAAAATACATGAAAAATTCAGAAAATAGTGAAATACCTATTTTTTATGTTAATTTTACATATTTTTTTTTGTGTGTATAAACTCACGATCTTTTATATATTTTTTTTACTTGCGCTGCCTTTTATTGAGATGTGCATGCAATTTAATGTTTGGATTAAGATAAACATAAATTATTCTCGTTGGACCGCGATTTCTTCTTCATTTCGTCTTAAAAAGTAATATATTGGTCTCGATGGTCAGATAAATTCTTAAGGAATCGCTGGCCACCAAGGACAATTGATTCGCTCTCCTATAAAAGCAATTTTTTAAAATGCTTATTATTTTACCATCGTTTTATTCATTTTATGTCGTAAAAAAGCTGACCTTATTTTTATATCAAAGCACACGGAAATTCGATTACAAGAGTACCATGACAGTACGAGCATATTTGTTTTTTGTTCGTAAGATTTTTGGGGATGCGAACTGTAAACTAGAGTGTTACCATGTTATAGCTTATCCTCAAATATTTATAATTACCTTCTACTGTGATTAAATTATTGTTTATTCTTTCTCCATTTTAACATAAGGGCGGCGAAAGCTTCAGCAAAAGCAGTGGAATAATTCCTAAGTGTTTTGATCACATTTTCGAAACAATATCAATGGCAACAAATGTCAGATATTTGGTCTTAGTAAGCTACTTGGAAATTTACAATGAAAATATACGAGACTTGCTCAATACAAATGAAAATACTAGCATAATAAATCATCCCCTTAAAGAAATAGCAGGTATTGGTGTCTCCGTTCCAACGTTGTCCACGCATCCCGTTATAAATGCAAGCCAATGTTACGATTGGTTAAAGTTGGGCAATAAAAACCGTGTTACTGCAGCGACGTTAATGAATGAAAAAAGCTCACGCTCGCATACTATATTTAGTATCACTTTGGAACAATCCCCATTTTTTAATAGTATTGGGACTGAGAATGACTTAAGAGGAATACGTCGAGGAAAGTTAAGCTTAGTTGACCTAGCGGGTTCCGAGAGACAACGTAAGACTGGAGCTCAAGGAGATCGGCTTAAAGAAGCGTCAAAAATTAATTTATCGCTTTCTGCCTTGGGAAACGTTATTTCGTCTTTGGTTGATGGTAAAGCAAAGCATGTACCGTTTAGAGACTCAAAACTTACACGTCTGCTCCAGGTAACTGTATAAGAAAAATTAATACATATTTAGTTATAACCCTGAATTTTTTATTTAGGATTCTTTAGGAGGTAATACGAAAACTTTAATGATATCCTGCATATCACCATCAGACATAAATTATGATGAAACTATATCAACTCTTCGTTATGCCAGTAGAGCAAAGAACATTTCAAACAAACCCACAATTAATGAAGATCCAAAAGATGCAAAACTTCGCCAGTACCAAAATGAAATATTAAATTTGAAAAGAATGCTTGAAGAGACTCAACAAAAAATTCTTAACAGAAGTGACGACAAGATTAAATCATCTGAATTACCGATAGAAAGTATAGATGTTCAAAATCTAAATTCAAAAACAGAGGCTAAAATAATTGATTTCGATAAAGATCCAGATGTACCGTTTACGGCAAAAAATTCAATATCAACAAAACCAAGTCTCTCATCTGACCAATCAAAAGAAGAGGTACAACTGCAAGCACGAAGTCGCATCGACTTCATTAAACACACATTAATTGGAGGTGAACGTGTTGATGATTTAAAACTGAAGGAACAGCACAAAGCCCGAAAATTTGCAGCACAACGTCACTTAAGTGCAATAGCCTATGCATTAAGCAGAGTTAAATGTGAGGATCGCGATCTCTTGCAGGGACATTATGCTAATATTACCCAAGAAATAAATATAAAAAATGATTACATTAAAAAGTGTGAAGAAAAAATTAAAATGCTTGAAATGGAGGTTTCCGATTTAAATTCAGAGTTTCAGCTGGATAGAGAGGATTATTTGGACGAAATTCGAAATCTTGGACGTCATATAAAGTTTTATCAACAATGGGTTTATAAATTTCATCCAAATTTTCGAAAAAATGGGAGAAACTGGTAAGACATAATCATATCTATTACATTACCAGCGATCAATACGGAGGTTACATTAAGAGGGCATATATTTATACCCGTTACTCATAGATTGATGGGGTATATTGTATTCGTCGGAAAGTTTGTAACAAGTAGAAGGAAGTGTTTTCGTAAAGAATATATTCTTGATCAGATCACTAGCCTAGTCAATCTAGCCATGTCCATCTTTCTGCTAAGATATCGGAAACTACAAAAGCTAGAAAGTTGGGATTAACCACATATATTCTTGGGCTTCCTACGCAACGCAAGTTTGGTTCAGCTGAGCTCCCACAATGTGCTTGAATGACCTTAAAATATGACTGCCCTTAAAATATTATTTCAGTCAAAAGTTTGCAACGCAGTGAAGGAGACGTTTCCAATCCCAAAAGGGGTATAAATTCTTGATCAACTTTACTAGACGAGTCGATCTAGCCATGTCCGTCTGTCCGTCCGTATATGCTATGGGTATAGGTAGGTATATAGTATAGGTAGTGTGTAACTAGGATCCGGCCGGATCGGACAACTATATCTTATAGCTCCAATAGAAAGAATCGGATAAAAAAGCCTGAAAAAATTCTAGCTTCAGTGTTTATTGAAATATTGCCCTCCACTCTTGGGAATAATTTTTATAAATATTTTTGAATTTCGAATTAAATTTTAAAAAAAAACCAATCACTGTATCATATAGCTGCCATAGGAACGGTCGGAAAATTAAATGGAAATTAATAGGAAATAAATAATATTTTTGTTGATTTTTATTACATTCCCTTCTTCTCTGGGATATAGCTTTTCTTTAACATTTCACAATTTCGAATTAAGTTTAACAAAATTCGGACGGCTATATTATAAAGCTGCCATAGAAAGGATCAGCAAATTAATTCCAATATAATAAAAAAGCAGCTATGTTATATAGCTGCCATAGGAAGGATCAAAAAATTAATGACAAAGTGATACGAAAGCAGCTAAAATGTAGATTGTTGTAACATATACGCAAGTAAATCTAAATTTAATGTTCTTGTAATTTCATAGAAAATGTTCTTAAAGGCTATATAAACTTCGACTGGCCGAAGCTAGCTTCCTTTCTTGTTATACCCTTGCAGAGGGTTATATAATTTCAGTCAGATGTTTGCAACGCAGTGAAGGAGACGTTTCCGACCACATAAAGTGTATATATTCTTGATCAGCACCAATAGCCGAGTCTATCTAGCCATGTCCGTCTGTCCGTTTCTATGCGAACTAGTCTCTCAGTCTCTCACCAGTATACCTTAAGGCTCCCATAGGAATATTCAAACAAATATAAGAAAATTCATTGTTACTTTGTGGGAAAGAGGCGTTTTTGATTGACAACTTAAAAACAAAATTTAATGTGCACGCTGAGTCTGGAATCCCTGGAACTGCACCGAGTGAGCATTAAACTATAGGTATTTACTTTATCTGCAAGGGTATATAAGCTTCGGCTGGCCGAAGCTAGCTTCCTTTCTTGTTTTTTTTATAAGTTTGCTACTCATGGTGAAAATATTTCATACTATATAAAGCATATACATTAGGGCGGGTCAATTTGTATGGGGCCAAAAAAAATGATAAAGCGTACATGGGGAACGTAATCTTTAAAGGATTCTAAACAACATTAGCGGACAAACTTAGGGTCTAAAATGACGTTTTACCCCAGACGCGAAATCGTTTAGTCCGGGAGTATTTTGAGCACAACCTAGCGCCTAGAACGTCATCTGAAGACCCATCATAATGAAATTTGGAAGAAAAATATTTCAAACGGCGACATTGAACTTTCAGAACCAAAATAGAAAGAAATTGTTTTGAATATGGACGAACAAGAATTAAAAAAGGATTGCGTGCAATTGGTAACAGTAGAAAAAGTTCCATTCTCGCTCTTTGACTCGGGATCCTTTAAAATATTAACCAGACAGATCTTCGGGGTCTAAATATGCTTCCAATAACGTCGACCAATATAATGAATCTTATAACGGGAAAGTTCCAATTGTTAA